TTCGTTGGACTACCTGCCTCTTCTGATGCCGTAAGTTTTTGTTCAGTCTTTTTTGGGCTTTTGTAAAAAAACAAATATATATATATAAGCTAGAAACCCAGTCTGCTGCAGTAAGGACTCAGCCTTCTTTACAAAGTGAGCTAACAACACCCCCTGTTCAGCCTTTTTAAAATTAACACCAGCAACTGCGCCTCCTCAGTCCTTGTGTCTACATTTGCGTTCAGATCCTTTATTCTTGTGTCTGCGCTTGACAAATTGTAACAAAAACTTGTTACAAAGGCTGACGGAAAGTACTGGAGGTTAAACTGGTCCTCCTCTAAACTTTTAGGGCATGCTAACTCTAAAAGACAGAAACAGACTTAAAGAAACTTGCTAGCCTAGCAACATTGGAGCTACAAAAAACCCATAATGCAACACTCTCTGTGGGAGCTGGTGTTAGACTGGTACTCTTCACATTCAAAAAGAATATCTGATTAGAATACACAAATGTCTAATCCTCAAATAAAATATGATCATATGTGATTTCTGTTGTCTTATATTTGGGCCATAAAAATCCCCTCTGTCTTTTTTTGAATTTATTCAAGACATCTGATCATGCAGCGCTCTCTACCCAAAACCGTTTTCTCTAAAGGAAACACATCAGCTTACTGAAAAACACCCTGACACCCGCCCCGCTTGTTTCAGACACTTGCTCAGTCAAATGGGATTGGTCGATCATGGCCAAATCAAGATCCTGCTAGTGATTTCTCTTTTTTTGGATTGCAGCTCAATGTCAAATCAATCGCACCCCCCAGACGTTGTGTAATTGGGTTTTAGGCTTCTTATGGAGAAGAAAATAGGTGGTCAGGGATGCTCAAAAACACTTATTGAGCACACAAGCTGCTCATGGCTGCCTCCTACCCCCTCTGTTGCATTTTCCTCACACAATTGGTTGTGTATCCCAGGATGAGTATGTAAAGTTGCATAAGCTCACAGACGCCGCCGCAGTCGTTTGGCTGATTACGGATGATGAATCACTTTACATAGCAAGCGATGGAAGTGCAGTGGAGAGGTATTCAATCCGAAATAACCTTTTGTTTCTCCTAAACAGGAGCAGCAACAAAAAAGAAACAGTGACTCCAGGCGAGAAGTGAGACGCAATCAGTCATCATAAATATGCAGAACAGTGGAAATGCTAAAAAACTTTTTAGTTCCTCAGCACTAAAACACTGTCAGCTTTGAAACAGGAGCACACGGTGTTGACAGCGTGGTGAAAAAGGCCCATCAGAGATTCCACTGACTCAGACGACTACAAGATGTTTGATGCGTCTCTGGCAGCCATGACCCATTTCTGCACAGTAGCAGGAGTGATCAAAAATGTTTGAACAAATGTTATTGCTTTCCTTTGCTTCCCTGCGGTTTTGGTGCTTCCAGAGTCTTGACTTCCTGCGAGAGGAAATGTTCACCCATCCTGCACAGCCATTACCAACCATCCAGTGTGTGTCGGTGCACCGCACGCTTGCAGAGTAATGCCCCAGGGACCACAGAGCTCCACCACTTCCCTGAAGTTAATGTAGTAATACCACAATGGAATCATACTACATTAACTAAGTAAACATCCTGCATTTTGACATTTTTACTTGGTAGAACTGTGCAAATATTAGCAGTAAAAATATTTTTAGTATCACAATTTAAAGTGATTATGATAATCTGTGTATGTCACAGTTTTAAATCCTCAAAATTGGAGAAATTGAAATAATGAAGCATGAAAATCTCCAAAGCTGGAGATGAAAATGTTTAAGATCCAACAAAAGAGGATTTACATGCTCCATGCAGAGATCATTTTCCAAAACTCTTTAGATAATGTCTTAGTCATTGTCATCTAGCTGAAGGAAGGCCGAAGGCAGAATTCATTACAAAGTCGATCATTTTTCCAACAGCCATATTTCATTCCTTAGCTGAGGCTGAATGTAGTGGAGGAAGAAAAAGTAAAATAGCTCCCACGTTTCCCCCCAAAATACTGCAAAATTTAAGTACAGATTTTGAGTAAATGTATCTATCACCACCTCTCTGTGTTGTTTTGCAAACCTTCACACATATAAACATATCCATCCGAGGACACTGAAAAACTCTGAATCCAAGACAAAACGATTTATGAAGTTGTTCTTTCCCCGGAGCCATTCAGCCCAGCAAAGCAACATTAAAAAAAATCTAAACTGCCTTTCTGTCTTTACTTTTATCCCAAAAGGTATCTTGCCATCACTGACTCCCCCAAATCCCTCCATAATCCACATAAACCTAGGGAAGCAGGTTAAGCTCCTCTAAAATGCTGTTTCATTGTAATTTCTGTCTCTGAAGATGTTTAAAATGATTTAATATGTGTGATTTAGTGTCTTTATATTTCTCAGCTGCTGTGCCTGATTACATTATGCAACATGTTTAACACCGAGAGCAGCATAAAATACTCCAGTTGATGATTTAAAGGTTCAGTGTGTAAGTTTTAGTGACATCTAGTGGTGAGGGTTGCGAATCCCCCCTCATCCGTGCGAGTTGTATAGCTACGGCGTCTGAGACAAAGATGTCCTGAACTGCTCACCAGCCATCCCCTCTGCCAGACTTCCTTCCAGGTAAGAAATTTCCTCTTGTGGTTGTAAAGACTTGACTTGATTTGAATCTTCAGAAGAAAAAAAACAGACAGAAATTGATTATTTGATATACATTTTTTTAGACCTTTTCATTTAAGGCCAGACACCACTGTCCAAAGTTCAATCTGTCAATTTTCAGATTCCGAGTTATTAAGTTACTATTATTACCATACCGTCATAAAACGTACAAAACAATCTTTAACAATATTATTTGTCTATTTTATACATAGTCTGTTAACTGCAGATGGCAGATCGTTGTTAGCATTTTCTGTGTAAAAGTTCAACCGGTCTTTTTAAAACTGTCCATATTGAATCAATTATTTCGTTTGAAAGTTTGTTTTCTAGAGCACAATGTTGGCTAGTTCATATGTCATATATTTATAAGTGATGTGTTCATGTGAGGCGGCGTGGTGGTGCAGCTGGGATTGGCTCCAGGGATTATGAAAACCTGAAGTTTAACGTCAGACGTGTTTTGACTCAAGACTTAACTTAAAAGACTTAAAAACAGCTCTGGCAGCATTTGGACAGAAGCTCCGGACGTTCAGGTAGAAAACACCTATGCAACACAAAGGGCTATGTTGGTTGGAGCAGTCTGCTCCAGACGATCCAGGAAGTCCAGTTTTAAGGACAGATCAATGATCATGAAGGCTTCTCAGACACCAAAACAGTGCACTGATTTTATCTTTTGCTGCCACAATTAATGCGATGTCAATAGCAGAAATACAACGATCAAGTTACAATGTATTCAGGAATGTGTGTGTGCACTTGTTTGCAAGTGACAACACAGCACCTTGCTGGATGACATCACATTAGTTGAGGTTAAAATCAAGGGCAACTGGACTTGGAATATACTGGAAGATGTTTCCAGATCAGTCCAGTTGCCCTTGATTTTAACCTTCCTTGGATAACTATGACCTGAATGACTTTTGTTGAGCCAAGTTCCTCTTCTTTACCAGATGAAGTTATGGTTTTAGGCCGGCCTTCCTTTACATCGGCACTCACACTGAGCCACAGAGTGCTGTCTGTCTGAAAATGGCCTTAAAAGTATAAAAAAAAAAAAAAAAAAACAAGCAGCTTTGGTGTTCAAATCTAAAGATAGCTGTTGTTGCAGATGGTGACTCTGTGCTTACACGCAAGAGAAGCAGCTTTTCAGAGTGCAACAAATGAAGACGTAGTTAAATATGTTTAAATACAATGATGACACAGATTTCATCTAGGAGTATTGTGGCTGAACAGAAGGACTGTGTACACAGGACAACAGAATACAACCAAGGGAACATTTGTTTCTGCATTTGTTTGCATAAAAATTTCAGGATTTAATGCTGAAAATAAGCATCAAATGATATCTCTCTTGACAAATGTGTCTTTCTGTATCTGTCTATTGTGACATGTTTTACTTACAAGATATTTTCTTTTGTTTGAAAATATCATTCATTTTACAACATATTTTGTTTCTCGATAAGCCCAAAGAGAGAAACGGCAGCCACAGTGGCTCATTAATGAACGTGTGTCTGAATCGCTTTGTCTCTTTGCCGCTGCTGAGGTTTTCTTAACATGTTTCTGAGTAGTTTCTGTGGTTGAAGCAAGGGAAGCGGACTATAATGTACTGCCGTTGATGCACCACGGAGTCTATTAACTCATTCACCATAAAGTGCCTGCCTGAGTCGAGACATCCATCAACCTTTCTGGAAAATGTGCAGAGTGTAAAAAAAAAATCACAAAGACCGTAAGAAGAGGGAAGCGTTCAGGGCGGAAAGATCACACACACACTTTTTGAAAGTAATTCCATATAGTCGAGTTTTAATGTCAGAAGGTTTCTTGTTGGTTTTTAAAGGTCGCCGAAGCAAATTACTGAGAACCGTTGATTCGGTAATAAAGCGGACTTGACTTGTCACACTGACTGCGTTTGATTCTTTCACATCACACATACACACACACAGGCAGATGGAAATATTGGACACATGTGAGACACACACATACACTCACATAGCCCCAGGTGTTGAACATGTTGAGTTTTGACGCTATTTTAGTCATTGAACATGATGGTCCCAGCTGTCGGAGGGCCTTCTGGAGGCACACACACACACACACAAACACACACAAACACACAAGGTCTCAGTCCCAAAGCATCTGATCAACCGAGGGAGTGTGTGTGAGTTCACTAGCGTCCTTTTTTCTGTTTTCCTTTTTTTTAAATGATCAAAATTTTCTCTGATTGAGCTCCTTGTGCCGTTTCTTGCTTTATTATTTCACACACACACGGAGGAAATTACAGTAAAAAGTATTGATTACAGATTTGTCTGCTGATAACGGACTCAGGTCCCTTTTCTTTTAAAGAAAAACAATGACAACAAGACACACTGATATCAATTCTACTGATTTATTTCCATTTTCAGGGTAATTTGCTTTTCTCGATGGATTCACTAGATCTATTAAATTAGCAGGGATAATATCTGTGGATGTGAGTCTGCTGAAATTAGGTTACACAAAGGACTTAGCCAAATATTAGTTTATCAGGATCTCAAGACATTTCTTTGACAAAACTGGGAAAAACTGCTTGTGAAGGAACATAAACACGGCCTTTTAAACACATTCATTGATTAACAGGACAATAAAGAACATATGTACAACAGCTTTAACAACAAGATGATTTAATTGGGGTGTGGAGTTCATTTACTAGCTAAAATAGCATCCGAGTACATGATACAAAAACTGTGCCTCATTTAACTGAGGTTTCTCTACAAAAATACATCTAATAACAGCTTCCTTTCCTCTCTAATTTACACAGTTTTATCACAATAATAAATAGAACCTACATTCATAGAGAACATATGGTTTCAAACGCCTCGTGGTGCAGAGCTACAGGGCGGGAACATTTTGCTTTATGAGTGCTGTCACACCAGCTAAATATGATTCTGGCATTTTGTTGCACTCAGAGCTGTAAGTAGATGTAAGTTTCATGTCGCTATCCTTTGTTCACGAACACCATCAGAAGCAAAAGCGGCTTGTAGTCTCACCATGGTGACATTCCCGACACAGTGGAGATCATCTGGTGAGGAATCGACAGTTACCTACTGACGAGCACTGGGAAACACAGCAGAGCGTTCAGGGCTGCAACTGAAAACTGTAATGCTCAAACAGTGTGTGTCCAGGCTTCTCAATACGACCCAAATCTTTTACAGTGATTGCCTGAAACCCTCAGTGAGGATAAGGATGGTGATCCGCCCACAAAATCTGCTTTTTGTAGTCCAATTTTCATGCATATTTTTGTTTGTTTGTCATTGCTGTCTGCACCAGAATAATCTATAGTCTCTAAAATGGATAGGCGCTGCCAGTTATACCCCAAAGCCATCGCCACCAGATGTTCAACTTCTGAGAAATCGTTTGAGAAAAACAATGTGTTAGTAAGTGTGGGAGTTCCTCTGCACGTCTCACACTGCTACTTCTGCTATTCACACCTTTCGAGTGTCTTGATGTCTGGACTTAACAAACATGCAATTGTGAGGTATTTCTGCTGCACTCAATGAAACAATAGGGAGCGTTCTCAAAAGAGGAATTTTTGAAGGCCTGATCCACACGTGGCTTTGCCCTAACCCTTAGCCTTAAAGGAAAAATCCACCCTGAGGTGCTGCTCAGATGGAAAAGTGCTGCTATAGGAACGCTTTGAACTTCCTGCATATGAATGAAAGGATGATTTCTGTTATTTTGTGCCGAAACACAGAGCAGAAAATCACCTGTCCAACTGCAACAAGCAACCAATGAATGAAAACGGGGGGACAGGGAACTTTAATAAAAGAAAAAGGTTGTTTTGTGATTACCTGGCAATCAAATCCTCCTCTGTTTCATCACAGCCCATCTCTACGTCTAGCCTCTCCAAGAGACATGTCTCTATTAAATCTGGGTGTGTCACATGACGGAGACCATTTTACAAGCTTTCATCTCGTCACGCCTCAACCAAAAATCTATTAATTGGCTTCAGACTGTACAGAAGTCAGCTGCCTGGCTTTTAACAAGGTCCCAGAGAAGTGATCACATCACGCCTCCTTGCATTGGCTCCCAGTATGTTTTTAGAATTAATTTAAAGATCTAACTGATGACTTTTAAGGCTCTTCATGGCCTTTATCATGCTATATATCTGACCTCATGCTCAGGTCTTGCGCGGCAGAAGACTAGAGGTGACAGAGCATTCGCAGTCAGAGCTTTGAAACTATGGCATGAGCTTGTTTTTAGTTGCTTGATTTCCCTTTACTCTCAGAAATCAGAAATAGTTTTGATGATCTTCATGTTGTAAAGTTGTTGCCCTGCGTGAAGCACTTTGTAAAGTGGGTTTATAAAAGTGCTCTTTAACATTATTATTGTGACGTGCTGAAACACTCCCTATTGTGTTTTTGTCTTTCTTTCCTTGGATGAGTCAATAAATGTAAAGTTATCCACTACGTTGGGATATTTTTAGTGCAGCAGTGGAGTGAGATGGCAGAAAATCAACAGTCTTAAACGTCAAGAGAAAAGGTCAGACGCTGGAGTCCATCGCTCAAAATCAAAGAGCAAAGGCTTATTTCTAAACTTAACATTTTGCTCTGACGTTCAACAGTCACACGGGCAGAAATCCACTGCAGATACAATTTATACACTGATGACAGCACCAGCAATGAGACTGCTGTATCCCATTTCCATTCTACAAACTACTACAGTGTGTACTCTCTAGTAATTACCACAGTATGCTGTTTTTGCAGTCAGTATACAGTCACCATCCAACAAATCAATGTAGTTTGTACTGACAGAAAATGAGACTTGCAGTGTAAAACTGTGACTCTTAAATGCCAGTGCCGATTTAACTTCACCAAGAGAAAACAAATGTTTTTCCAGGTCTTCTTGAAGCTATTTTCTTTACCTTTATCGTCAATTTATTTTTTCCAGCTGTCAGCAGCTTCTCAATTTCCTTTCATGCAGTCCATGAGTTATGTTTTCCATTAACAATGCACCAAAAATCAACTTCATGTATCCTACATACTAACATCTACTGAGTACAATTAATTCAATTATTTTATTAGTATGTAGAAAGGAATTAGGACACATCTATTCTGTAGTTTGGTCGAGTGCATGGGTGCTGTTCAGAGACGTTTGTTTCTTTTATACTTGTGTGGATTTTAAATGTCTGTCTGTGTGTTTTCTTTTGCATTTCAAACCTGCTTCCCCACAGGAGTTTGAGAAACCAATCAGCTTACTTGATGTTGTTGAGTTTTGGGAGGTTACATTTACCACCCCTCTCTGGGAAAACAGAGCAGAGAAGTTTATGTGTATCTTTAAAACAGCGTAATTCTCTCTTAACATCAGCTCCAGCAGCTTTCTTTTGCTTATTCGGACGATAAAATGAAAAAGAAACGTCATAATTTTAACAGAGCAATAAGAATAATCATTTTGTTAGCATTTAGCTCACTACAGCTACCTTAAGGCTCTGTAACTGATGCTGCATTCACATTATGTCATCTGGACGGGGAAATCTTCTGTTATTTCAACTGGGTAGCACACAGGTGTTATTCTAAGACGGTTAGCCCCATTGCTAGCCTTGTCATCCACTCATCTGCTAGTTATACCTGCTTATTCTTTGCAGGACATGTCACCCATCTATCAGAAAGCTAGCCCTGTAATCACCAGATAAATGAAAAATAAGCCCAGATGTTTTTACAGCACAAAAAGTTAACTATTTGTAGTGGTTCATTAAAGGTTCAGTGTGTATTATTTAGGAGGATATCAATATAATATACATAACTATGTTTTCAGTGGTGTATAAAGTCCTTACATAATGACTTGTTATGTTTTTATAACCTTAAAATGAGCCATTTCTATTTTTATTTTATTTTTCCCTCTACAGAAGCCCAAACAGGACAAATGGCTCTACAGAGCGCGTTTCATCACTATGTTGACTAGTACGAAAAACAAGCATACGTAGTAGTAGTAGTAGTAGTAGTAGTAGTCGTCTGGTTTATTAGAAGTAAGAAGAGTTGCGTAATTTGGACAAATGGAGCACCACACATATTCGGCACATGAGTCAACAGAGTGTGTCGGCCGCTGAGGTTCCTCCTGAATGCTTGCAAAGGGAGGGATGAGCGGTGAGTGATGGTGCATTCATGTAGTGTTGGAATAATCAGATTTTTCCCTCCTCCTTAAATCTTTATTGCAAAAACAGGAATAAAATGTACATGGGACATAAAGAAGTATATAGAACAGTATACAAGTATATAAGAGGACACAAATAATAACAAATTTGCCAGGGGTAGTCTATATTTTATAAAGATTTTAAAAGACGACCATATGTTGACAGTTTTTACAGCCTTTTTGTTGTTAGATTTAGAAATTAAATTGATGTAATAACAACCTCATGGAGAAAAAGTTTTTTACTGCTACAGTTGCCATTAGAATTAATACATTTATTATAAAGTACTTATTTCGTCCGAGGAGCAAGTGAATGCACAGAGAGCCATTTGTTGCAATTCGCAACCCTCATCATTAGATGTCACTAGAACGTACACACTGAACCTTTAAGCATATATATCAGAGTTTATTCAGCTATAACTTATGACGATGGCCATAAGCCCATACTTCTGACTTGAAAAAGGAGCCCGCTTGTAATTATGTCTGTATGGTATGATGTGAATATGGCACATTTGTCGTTACTAAATGCTAACTTAGTTTTATCTTATTAAAATGACCAGGTGCTTAAATTTTACTACTCTGCTAAACTAGTAGAAATACTCATTTAATAATATTAAGTTTGAATAAGATCTTGTCTCAACCTTTTTAGAAAGACTGATGGAAGAAACTTTTTATTGGCAAAACAGAGGTTAGCTTTAAAAAAAGTCATGCGGGTCATCAGCTCTTAATAACCTCTTGAGAGCAGCAAGTCCACATCTGTCTTCAAAGTCATTCAGGGAGAAGTAGGAAATCACCAACTGAAGTGGAAGCTCTCAGGGGGGAAAATGTAAATTTCAACAAGGAAAAAAAATCCTGCATTTATTATCACAGATTGAAGATATCTGAGAGTGTACAATGATGGGTTTGCCCTTTAAAGTCACAAAGCACAGTTTAAATTTCCAACATGCTTTAAACTGAGCAAATCATTGGTTTAAAATGCAAAACAGGAGCATCAACTGATTTCTGCGGAGGGAAACGAGCCCAGCTGTGTATCCCCGCCACGATTCCGCTGGCTGCACACCTGAGGCTCATTTTAAGCAGGATTGCATCTGATGACGATAATTAGCCATCGTTTTTTCAGATGAATCAGTGCTTGGAGTGTATCGACAGGGTGATGAAATTGCTGGAGGTTTGGCTTTAAGAAAGATCGTGTTTTATTGTTTTTGTTTCTTAAATCTTCCTGGAATTGTACCGCATTTCATTCTTGCTTTGAGTGTGCAGGTGATGAGGCATGAAAACTGCTTTCGCCTGACAACTTTTCACTTGGAAAATGGGATAGTCGACCCTTCATGAGTCAATTTCTTTGCTTCTTTTGTATGTTTTAAAACAACATCTGTAAGGGCAAGACTGCATGATGGGGCGGGGGATACAGAGACGGGTGGTGACTCTGCAAGGGGTGAAATGCTGCTGCTAGCGGATAAGGACCAGGGGCATCCAGGAGAGAGATGGGGGATGAGGCGTAGAACGGAGGGGGAGGAGGAGGAGGAGGAGGGGGGGGTGGAGGAGCAGGAGGTGGATTAAGAGTGAGAGGAGAGAGATGTGGGGAGAAAGAGGGGAGAAGATGGGGGTATGAGTGGACAGGGAGGTGTGGCGGAGGCGGGAGGAGGGAGAGGTGATGCTGGATGATAGTGCGATGGAAGGAAAAAGTGGAAGAGGAGGAGAGGGAAGGCTGGAGAAGGAGAGGAGCGTGGAGGGGGATGCAATGCGGAGGGAGGGCGTGAGGAAAGTAAGGCCTCTTCTCTGGGTATAGATGTTCAAAATCTATCGCCTTCCTTCTCTCCCTGTCCTCCTTTTCTTTCTCCTTTCTCCTCACCCACTCCTTCTCCCACTCTTCTTGCTTCTCCTTTACCCGTTTCCTCGCCATCTGTTCCTCCTCCTCCTCCTCCTTTCTCTCCTTCTCAACATCTCTTTCCTCTTCTCTCTGCTCCGTCTGTACACTCATGAGTGCAACAGTTTCCGTTGCATTTGTGGCGCTACTCTTATCGACAACATTACCACAATGATTACAATCAGTGACATGATTACTGTTAAAATAATCACACTGCGCACTGTCAATATCATCACAGCCGTTTCCGTGTCTTTGATCAATACCACTGCAGGTTTTATAATCAATAACTGAATGAGAGAGGTCCCTTTTGTGTTGAATGTGACACTGCAGTTTGGTTGTATCCTCCTCACTGTGACCACTTTTGTTATCTGTATGGTTGTAAATGAAATTGTGATAACATGTGTCATTTGTTTTACAGTTACAGCGATCACCACGCTTGTCCGTTTTGTCAGTAGTGTTGCTGATATCAGAGTCAGTGGATATTTTGACACTCTTTGTCTGCTTGTTTGTGCATTGACAGTGGTCAGCATGTGTTTCGTTAGTGCTACAGGTAAAGAAGTCTTTTGAAAGTAAATCCACAGGCGTGTCTTCGATGTTACAGGTGGGTTTGTCACTCTCGTTAGCTGTGTGAAGTTTATCCACATGATCAGGAGATTGATTGTCATCTTCGTTGCCGTCATGATTCATCAAAGTACTGCTACAGCTCGGATTGTGTTTTTTATTACCCTGGTTGTGGTCACCTGGTGTGTTACAGTCACTGAGAGGTTTCTCAGTCAAGCACTTCCTCCTGTCCTCGCCTCCGGAAGGATCAGAGACAAATTGACTGTAGACATCAGCACTGCAATTGCCACTTTTACTGTCATCACAGTGGCAGCAGTTATTCAGTTTGTCAGTTGTGTTGCAACTAAATGTTCCCTCACTGTTATTGGATTTATGGCACAGACAGTGTTTTGGCCTGCAAATACAGTGGCAGTCAGTGTTTTTCTCACTCCTGCTGCCGACTGGACCACACTCAGTTGTGCTGCACCCCAGGTAGTCGTCCACAAGTGTCCCAGTCTTGTTGCTCTTGAGTTTAAGCGCCATTGTGGGTTTCTGCATACAAGGGGCCTCATCTATGCTGAGGTCGGTAGTCAACCCAACACAAGCTCTTTCCTGTCTCTGTGTACTCAAAACACAGACGACTCTCCTGCCTTGTCTCCTTCCCCTTTTCCGTTTCTTCCTCGGTATTTCCCCAGCCTCTGGCAATCCCCTCTTCCTCTGGTCGGCTGTTACTGCTCTCTTTGACATCACATCTTTTGAAATCACTTCGCCAGGGAGGCTCATGTCTGCGCGGGCTGATCTAATTCTCGGTTGTGTTTCTGTCTGTTGTCCAGAACAGTGTGAGGCCAAGCCTAACACTGGATTGCAGTGTCCTGCAGATGTTGTTTGTCTTTGACTACACGCTGTTTCTCTAAAGGGAGCAGGGACAAGGCTAATCGCTGGATCACATGCTGTTTCTCTCTGAGGTGTAGGAACAAGACAAACTTCTGGCTTACATGCTGCGTCTTGACTGGGCAAGGAAATGCCGCTAATCACTAGGTTACACACGTTTTCTTTAGCATCCTGAACTCTTATCTCTGTCTTCCTCAGATTCCTTTGCTGCTCATCTCTCCGCCCGGCCTCCTTCCCTGCTTGTGTATTTTTGTGTATCTCCCCCGTCTCTCTGTCATTCTGAGCAGGGTCGGGCGTAATTGCAGGACAGCATGGCATCTCTATAACAGTACCAGGGACGGGGCTAATCACTGAGTTACATGCTGCACCCCTGCAGAGGAGCTTTCTGAGCCCCTGGCCCCACCCGGAGGCTGATTGCTGGGATTGATGCAGGCTGGCCTCCCTTTTCACCTGCAGACACAGCTGGTTACACCGATTACAGCGATTCACAGGAAGATTACTTAATAGCTCTCCTCTCTTCTCGTCATTTCTACCTGCCCTCTCTTGCTCTGTCTCATCTCGTCTTATCCTTTTCTCCTCTGCCCTCATCCTCTTTTCTCTCCCTCCTACCAGCCGATGCGCTCCAAGATTACTTAATAGTCCTTTTTCTCTCCTCTCTGCTTTTTCTGTGCCCTCTCTTTGCAACCTCTCTTCTCCTCTCCCTTCAGACATCAGATTCTCAGAAAGGCTACTTATTATCCTTCTTCCCCTGTCTGGGTCTTTCCTGTTTGTCTCTTCTCCTCTTTTCCTCCTCCCCCTCTTCCTCATTCCTCTCCTCACCCCTCCCCTCCTCTTCCTCCTCCTCCTCCTCCCCGTTTTTTGAAGGCCTAGCGTCGGTGCAAGGTGGCATTCTGTGGAAATGGGAACGAATTTTAAAGCACTTTCATCACGGCAGGCGCAGCGGTCCGGAACTGCGTTGCCGCCGCTACAATGGGCTACAAGTTCCATAGGATTTCCTGCCTGTCCTCCTCCATCCTCTTCTTCCCTTTCATCTATCTTTACCTCCCTTCCTCTCTCCATAACTTCCTGCCTCTGTTGGCAGCCAGGTTGTTTGATCACAGACGGCTTTATTCCCTCCCACCCTTCTTCCAGCCCTCCTTTCTTTTCCTCACCCCCTTCCTTGGTCCTGTTATGAGCTCTGAAGTCATACAGAAGAGGGTTGATGCTGTAGGAGATGGAGGGCGATGTCTTGGTGTAGCTGACCATCTCTGATGGCCAGAGAAGAACCCTGCCACCGTCTCGGTTCAGGACACGACAAAACGGCTCTTTGGGACGACATGGAGGCAAATAACTTGATTCTTTAGTCCAGTTTGATGGAGAGCTGTTTAAATCTTTGGGCTGTGTTTGGATTGAAGACTCTTTGGTCTCATTTGAAATACCGGAAATCGATTTCTGAGGTTGATTTGTAGCAGGACATAGCAGATCTTTCAATTCTTGGGTAGGATTTAATACTGTCACATTGTCCACATTGTTATGGGTTTCGGCCTCACTATCTCTGCATGCTGAATCTTTAGCCACAACTGTGCTTACACTGCCAGAAATCTGTCCTGGTATCCCGCTGTTTAAATAAAGATGAGCTCCAGTCCCAATTTCATTGCCGACTTGGGCTCCAGTCCCATTGTCGTTACATGAGGAGATCTGGGCTCCATTCCCACTGTTAACAGAGTCCTCAACTCTGATCACATTGCGATTACATAAAGAAACCTGGGCTCCTGTCCCCCTCTCAGTAGACATATTGGCTCCAACCTCAGAGTGCTGGATTGCAGTTTTACTGTCCACACTGCGCTGGTTTCCAGTGTCCCAGTGTTCCACACCTACACTGTCCACGTCTGCAGATACTGGAGATTTGATCTGCTGATCTTTAGCCCCCAGATCTTTAGCTCTTTCTTGCGCCGTCACACCTTCTTGTTTCCCTGACAAGTCAGAGCCTCGGCCGCCTTGGATGAAGACGGCAGCTGATTGGTGGAGAAGGACACAGCTCCTTTTGGGCAGCGAGAAGGACACAGGACGGACTCTGCTGGGGAAGGATTGGACGACTGAGGCGCCCAATGCTCTGCTACTGTTGATGCTGATGTCAGTCGTGTTAGTAATGGCGGTGGTGGTGATTTTCTTACTGAAGCTGGTCATGGTGGTTTTGTTGAAAATGGATCCATTAGTGGTGGTATTACTGGCAGTTGTTGGGATGTTATTGGGAGTAATGGGGTTGGTTAAATAATGATGAGCCCAAGGGATCTTGTTAAAGTGGCTGGTTTTGGTGGAAGAGTGGATATTTGTGTTGATATCAGTGCTCATGATGTTGTTGGTAGTGGTACTGGACTTAATGGCCGCGGCTGTCAGGTCATTGTAGTCCATTTGGGTCTTGTTGAGGATGCAGGATTCAGCAGTTGTAGTTGTAGTGTTGTTCGTGTCCATTTGGCCATATGCCCATTGTGTGTTGCTCAGGAGTCTGGTTTCCAGTGCAGGGTCCAGCGGTAGGAAGGGCTGAATCAGCGGGGTTTGAGGCTCTAGATGGAGGGGAGAACAGAAAGGATTACAGCAGCTGACACTGTGTTACATTTAGATGCAAAACATAGCAGGATTATCTGCCTAACCTGACTATAAAAAAATGATTTTGAAGGGATACATGTAGAGGAATAGCATACATTTTTAAGATTCCCCATACAGTAAGCTCCTTATGCATTTATTCAGTGTTCTGGCTCTTCACCATTACTCTTTTGTTGCATATAACACATCTGAATGTGATGCGTGTAGGATGGACTTGGGAAAAAACATTACCACTGACATGAATGTGTGATAGAAATGGGAAAAAATTAAGATTAAAGGTTTTATTCTAACATGTAATATCCATTTTTGTATATCCATTTTGGAGCACATGCTGCCAGACATTCATCTGTGTATACATCAGTGTGGCAGATGATTCAGACCGTTATTTCTTGAGTGAAGGTTTTAGGATGACTCATAACTTTAAAAGTGATGTATAACACACAAGAAACCCATTCAAATGAATTACCCTTCCAATACAAAATGTGCAAATACATTTACAACTTTAAATGCAGTTTTCGAACTGGGGTAAAACTTGAACTGAATACGTAATTGATATATTTTCAGAAAAGACAATTGATTGTTCTCTGAAACAACAGGAATGCTGCCGCCAAATTTCATGTTATGCTTTCTTTATTTGTAAAAATCTATCCTGCACCCTAAAATCGCCTTGAGATGGACTGAAGGGAGTTGATTTCACCTCCTGAATCAGAACAAATTCAGACTGAATGACAAACTTAACTGGAAAAAATTACTTTAAACTCATTCTTTAAAGTTTATATTCACACACTGACTTTTATACACACTCAATTGCCAGTTTATTAGAACACGTAACCTAAAGGAATGCAATCCAATACAACAGCCCTGATATGTCCTACGTAAATGCTCAGTTTTTGTTGAAACTGTTTTAGAGAGATGTTGAGAGAGATGGTCAGTTTGGAGGCTGAAGTTGTTTTGTACTGAGAGGTGAATATTATATTATAGTCTTCCAGTCATTGATATAAATGGGGTGAACAAAATACAGACTGCATTAGTTTAAGCTAGGTATACCTAATAATGTAGCTACCGAGTGCAGTTAAACTTTGCATGTCTTAGTTTGAAAAGTAATATCTCACTAAAAAAGTATAAATTAAATTAATTTAAATTAAATTAAAGCATAGTAGAAAAAGTGGTGTTGGTGCATTTGAGCTCTGCAGCAATACATGTGAATCTTCTAATGCAGTCAGACCAGAATGTGGCCTAGCAAAATCTTTTGCACATCCTTGTAAAATAGGCAGGGTTGGAAGCTTGGTAACTTACAGTAGTGACTGTTTTGAAGCAGGTCATTTTTTTATTATTTTAGAAATCTCATGATGTCTTACAAAGCATTGTTTATTGAAGCCCATCCAGGGAGCCAGGTAACAGCATACAGTGTGCAGACACAGTGTAATACCAAACCGAATCTGAAGAATCCCTCTGGGTCCACAATATTTTTCTCTCCGGTATCCTGTAGTGTCTCTGGTCTTTCCCTGCAAGGTCATTTTTAACTGGCCTAAATCTGAACAGGCAATCTACTAGATGTTAGACTCAAATGCATTACCTAAGTCACGTTGAAATCTGGAGGTCTCATGTATTGCTTTCTAAGCGGAGACAGTGACTCTGTAAACATACGACATTCCAAATAAACGCAATTATCTACCGGCTTTGAGCCTGAACTACATTGTCTCCCTATCACCCAGCTGTCATCACCCTGACGGGTTAGAGGGGTTGTTCTACCTAACCTGTTACTCTAATTAAGCCTACCAAGAAAATTCCCCCTAGTGACCCGTCATACTTTCAGTCACTTACTGGGCAACAAGTTAACACAGGTAAACTGGATTTATACCTAATGCAAAGCAGTAAAGGTGGTCAGTGGACAGTAGATACTGATGGCATCGGTTTTGTAGGTTAGGCCTAGAGGGATGAATCATACGTGACCAGGATAGGTTCTACTTTAAGTATATTCCCCATACTAATGGTGTTTTAACGCTTTCATCCACTTTGTTATATAAAGCAACGAGGGAAGGTTCCCCTTGTCTCATTACTTACTAGAAAGTGCTTTTGCTGTGCAGTGACCGTGTGTATGTTCCAGCTCATAAGGAAGAACAATCATTGTGGTGTGCAGGGGATTAGCAGTGGAGATGGCTTTGCTAGACACTTTCTTCAACTTAAATGTTGTTTGGGGTGATGATGGCGCAATGAATAAGACTATGCCTTTGGTGTGAGAGACCCGGGTTCAGTTGCTCCAGAGGCGTGTGACCTCTGACATGTATAGCAATTGTAAGTCGCTTTGGATAAAAGCGTCAGGAGGAGTTACATGTTAGGGATGGGCATTTCAAGGGAAAATAATAATCGCTCTCACAGCGCTGTAGACAACTGAACGTGCCACATACCTATTTTACTGACACCAGGAAGTGACACATTACTACCAGGACCTTCATAATAGCAAAGAAAAAATATATTTTAATAGAAGAGATTGATAGAACATAACCCACAACAAATATTAAGGAACTGTATTTGTGTTATCCAGTCCTGTCTCATGACTGACGCCAAACCATGCTGCATCTCTTTTATGGTGAGGTTTACACTCCAGCAGAGCGGGGTTATATAAGTAGAGTAGAGGACCCAACTAATACGATAGCTTTCTTTAGTCTGGAGTCTCTGGCTCTATATTCACTGAAAGGTCAACACTGTCGAGACAGTTTGCGGTTGGTCAATGGCAGAAATTTGTGTGACTAAGTTCACCAAAGTTGAACTCTGTGCTGATTTATCCACTCAGCCTAGCAATTCCATTTAAATCTATTGATTTCAGACATTCTGCTACTGTGACTGAGCCTCTAGAGCAATTCTTCATTCATATGTGTATAATTGCCCAGTAAATGTTCCTCTTATGTTCTTCCCTAAACCTCTCATCTCTGTGCATCTGTTAATTTCTTTTCCAAAGTCTGCTGTTAATAAAGATATTCTGTGTTACTGCAGCAGACCACAATCTGTATAATCCCTCAGTATCAGGAGTGATATCTCCATCACCAAAACCAAACACGTGCTCATTAAGTATTTAAGCAGCCGAGTACATGCCTTTATAAGCAGATAAGAGTTCTTACTTGTTCCCAGCGTGGTGCTGCTTGTATGGATGTCAGCCCAGTTCTGTACAAAGTCTGGCCTGGTCTGGTTTGCTGGTTCGACTGCCACTGTGGTGGACCTGAACATGGGACCAGAACCTGGAGCACTGAGGAGAGGAGAGGGGGAAAGAGGAGAGGAGGATCAATGAAAGGATAGTGAGGATAGGATGAAAGGAAAGAAGTGAAGGGCAACAAATTAAAAGGAAAGGAGGAAGAAAAGGGTGACAGGAGAGGAGGAAACAAGGAGACAAGTGATGAAAAGAATGTGAGGAATAAAGAGGAGAGGAAAGGTTGAAAGGAAACAAATGAAAATGAGAGGAAACAAGGAGACAAGTGGTGAGAAGGGAGAGAGCAGAGTAGAGCTGAAATCCAGCTGAAAATCAATTTGACCATGCTTTTCCTCTCCGTCCCTTTGTGCCAGGAGCCAAACTGCATTGTTGCAAATCTGAAAATGGCAGTGACAGCCGATACTGACATTACTTTCTGTATAGCGAGTGGGTTCAGCGGCACGACATTATTGGTCAGAAAAACTTTATAGCCATGATGATTATCCCCATTAAGCACAGCAAGATGCATTTTATTGGTTGCTGTGCCAACGCTTGTTGTAACGAGGCAGCTAGTTACTGATCTCTCTTTTCCTCTGTGTTTTATTTTTACTCATGTACAATACTGTGAAACAAACATGTCAGTGTTAAGTGTTTTTAAATATATGAAGACCTAAATTTGGCTCAGCGGTCAGTAAGTATAGACCTACATTAAAAATTCTAACTTTCATGCATGGATTTAAAAGTCGTGGATGTTTGATCGTGTCTTCAGGGACTATTTCCTGGCAGAGCCCTACGTTCTTTTTCATGTGGGCGTCTTCAGGTTGTGACTTGCAGCTCTGAACTAACATTTTGCATTCATGTGCTATCGTATACATATTTTGAGAAAACACATTCTCTGTTTGGTAGCTCGCCAGATGAACTCTCATCATAACTTGTTTTCAGCAAGAAGCAGCCAAATCCACATCATCTGTTTCTAGACCTCTGTTTTTGTTTATCATTTGTCTTACTGGGTTTCTTTTTCTCTCTTTTTTTTTAAGACAAACAGAACGTGAGCGCAACACTGTTTGGCAGCCCACTTGAAAGTCCCGGATGCCGGAGCGTCCAACCAGCACATGAACACACAGAGAGCAGCATTTCCACACAGCTGTAAAATAACACAGCATTAATGCTATTAGTTACACGTCTGCTTATCCTACTATGAGTCAAGTTAAAATGTCTGCTGTGGAAAAGGAATTTCTGGCACAACTTCACCTACTTCCAAGGTGCATTGGGGAAGCGAAATTGCTTAAATAGGTCAAAACTCCAGCAACACTTGTAGTATAAAAAATACAACTTTATTGTGAGAATGACTCTAATGAGAAACCAAACACCCTGACACAGAAACAGAGTGCATGACACAGACTTATAGATTTTTTTAAATATAATAATAAACAGTTGTCCATGCCTACATACACATCCAGCAGATACAGAGCAACATGAATTAATTTGGAGCTGTGTTTCAATCCAGCTGATGAATTTAAATCTGTTTTAAGTCTCCACCAACCCCTGAAGGAAATATTTGTCTCTTTAACTGCTAAATGCACCAATATCTTCACCAGCTACTCTTTAACAGTGTCTGTCTGATGTTTGGTGCAGGGCAGGGCAGGTAGCGAACAGTGGATTTGTCAGAGGTATTTTTGATGAAAACAGCTGCCAGCTGCAGCTGGAAACGGAGTTAATGAGAGCGGTGAGAATAAACCATATAAGTTAACGACCATAAAACCAAAACAAAGCTGATGGGAGATGAGTCAGGCGGTAATGTGTCACTTTCAGATTATGCATTTAATCTATTTTTAAAAATAAAAATGTTGATTGATGAAAAATTTTCTGAAAAACCAAGACATTCACAGTGAAAGATTATCCAGCAAAGAACATTTAATCCTCTTGTAAATGTACTGAAATTTATCCTTAAAGTAGATTATTTTAAATAATTATTTTTATGTCAAGCTGCATGAAATATCAATAAAGTAATATTACGTTTACGAAAGTGACACAGCAGAGCTTATTTAACAGTTACAACACTTAAATATAGTCCGTCTGGTCCTTTCAGTTAGCGTGTAGAGGTGCATGTTACTCACCACTCTCCTGTCCTCCTCTCTTCATGCTTGTGGAGCCTCCTCAGCGCTCTCTCCTCTCTCTGCTCCTCCCTGCGTCTCCTCTGCCTCCTGTAGGCCAACGCTCTGTAAAACTCCCTTTGTTTCAGCTCCTTGAGGCGCTGGAGGATGAGCACATGGATTATCATGATTATTAGTAGTGGTCGTAGTAGAAATGATAGTAGCAGCAGTAGTGGTATTATTTTAACATGGAGAATTGAGAAGTTAGTTAAACATTAAAATTATGTTTGTCTAAATAAGTTGATCACGCAGCATTTAGTTTCTGTGTATGTATGTGCGTCTGTTCATTCCGCAATTCTTTATCTGCTCTGTGTGTAAGTATAACAATGTATGTGTGTGTGTGTGTGTGTGTGTGTGTGTTTTTATGCGAGCTTACTAAGTCAGCCAGTGTCAGCTTTAGTACAGTCCAGACCAGCTTAATTCACTTACTGAGCTCTGTCTGCAAGCTGTCTGCAAGCCGGAGATACTGATACTGTGTGCGTGTGTGTGTGTGTGTGTGTGTGTGTGTCACAAATAATATTAATAATATACCGGTGGGTTCATATCACAGACAGACAGATGACAACAGACAGACAGACAGCGAGGCGGGCAGAGAAACCGACAAATAGATAAACAGACTAAAATAGACCGACAGATAAAAGGCAGAGGCAGACAGACAGACCGTTACAAACATGGAGAGGGACAGAGAGACAGGCAGGAAGACAGATGAAGCATGGTTTTTCTTTAAAGCAGTGTAGTGTAGCCTCAGCATTTCATAGAGGTGTACATACAGTGTGAGGCGGACAGGGGAAATTACAAGAAAACCTCACATAAGACTGCAATCCAGTGCAAAAACTGTTCGAACTGACCAGAAAAATAGCCATAGAGTCAAATCACTGCCAAAAGTGGACACTGTAAGCTTCTTTAAGTTTTGAAACATGTAGATTTTTTCTTACAATACTCCATCTTATATTTCTGAATGTTTTATCACTCTTCCAAGCCCTCAGATAATCAAACCAATCCCTTTAAGCCGTTACACACTTTTGTATTAAAACAAAAGGTGATCATGCATTTTCAGTGGTGGCCCCAAGACTGTGAAATTAAGTTAATTTGATTATCAAATCGTCCCCACCACTGAGACTTTAAAGTCTCGTCTTAAAATGCATTTTTCTTCTTTGCCGTTTGAGTCTGTTTAGGGACAATCTTGCTTATCTGTCTTGTTTTTCTATTTTTTGTTGTATGTATATACATAAATTGATTGGCCTGTTTTTATTTATCTGTTTTTTATTGTATAACTTTGTTTGGCACTTGAGTCAACTTGTGCTTTATAAATAAGACTTGACTTGACGTATAGAATAAAAACGTAAGACATTTTTAATGTTGCGTGAAAGTTAAAAGGCTTTAGGGAACACATTTCATTTTAGGTTGTGCAGGCTGTTGAAAATATCACATGTTATCTATGGATATAGTGCTGCATGACCTTTCAGGAAGGTCTTTAAAATGTAATTTTACATGTTCTTCTGTTGTTATAACATGGCCACTAAGAATAATTGCTTGACCACATGACTACGGTTTCCCCTGCTTGTTGGGGTGGTAAAGTAAAATGTATTACAAGGTTGGAAAAGACTCAAAGTCTCTATTTAAAGGCTGTATTCCTCCAAACTAAACAATAACTATGGTACAAACAAGATAATAAGGGGAATAATAATCCCATGCAAAAATAACCAATGCAAATGTATTACCTTGAAAATGAGATACTAGTATGTGTTAGTTGGAAACTGCTTCAACAGCATTGGTGAATTCTATTTAAGATGCTGAATTTTTCAAATGTGAAAGATCATCCAGTGCTCACATACAGTATAAAAGGCCCTCCCACATAAATTGTTTTACTAATTTTTTTTTTTGCAGGGTTACTGTAACATTTGTATAGTATTTCATGTGGGGCTGTTTGTGTTTTGAACAATTAAACACATATTACTTTTACATACTCATTATTATATATAAGGATTATCGTTATCAGAGCAAAATATTTGGACATCTCTCCTTTTGAGTCATCCATTTGGTTTTCCAATTAGATTAATTTTGTTGTTAATACATGTGATAGAAGGTCTGGTGGTTTAAGGGCCCCTGCTGCATGTGGCCGCTCGGCCTGTGCTCAGTGAGACTGTTTGGTAACTGTTTCTGAAGATTTTTTTCCTTCTGTTGATGTTGCTATGTGGTGAAAATGTAATTGACCAACCAGGGGCCAGATTCATGTCTAAAAGCACAAAGACAGAAATATGCATACGTGTTCTTTTCGTCAGCTTTATAAAGATCCTGTGGACGCATGTTTCTGTCATACCAATCCCAATCATCATGGAAATAGGCATGAGCCTCATTTCCACTCCCACAGTTAGCCATAAATAGATGTCGTAACGCCCTAAACATTTGCATATCAATATTTCCGCCTGCTCAACCTCTCATTATACCTGTCAATGAGAACAACAGCAAAGATGTGCAGTTTTACCAACTGTGTCGCACTGGCGAGGTTCTCTAACAGCACTAGCAGCTGTCATTACACACAGCTGTGACTGTTTAAAAGGCGTTCATCAGTAACTTATCAGCGGCAATATCTCAATCTTTATTATTTAACATCAGAAAGATGATCAATGATTTATTTCTTGACCTCAGAAAATAAGATTAAGGTTATTAACATGAGAAATATTTCCTCTAATGTAAATAAAAATGAGGAAATTAAGTTTATTAAATGCGACTACGGCGTATGCACAGTCTTTGTGTAACACATAGTTTATAAATCTGGCCCCAATGAACATGAAGTACAATTGTTTACCAAAGTTGTATAAATTGTTGAGGTGATGAGGTTAATTGGTACTGGTGAGATGAGGACAGGTGCGATGCGGCAAACCCACTCTATCTTTCCCATTAAGAGAGTACCACCAAACACATTAAATGCTTCTTCTTCCTTTTTTTGTTGCAGATTTAGTGTTTCCACTGTAACATCTGATACAAAGGACATTCCTTTAGTATAATGACAGTGACCCTTGGTTCTTTTACACATTGAATGTGGAATGAACAGTGACTTGGAGATTAAAGCACCAAGGGGAGGGGACTATGTATAAAAATGGCCACAGCTTCTACACAGTTCATCTAGTGTAGATGTAAACACTCTCTAAATAGAGCTGAGAGTCAGCATTAAGCTTAAAGCCATTGTTTCCTTTCAGATCCATAGTAATGAATACAGAGCTAGCACAGCAAATAATGTGTCACCTTCCTACTACTTACAGATCTCACTGAATAAATTATAATTCAATTAGAAAAGCACACAGCCTCTTTAAGCTGCATAATGTAGGATAAACTGTGCATGGCTGTTTTTCTCTGTTTGACTCTTTGCATCTGTCACATCACAACAGTGCCATTGACATAGTCTCTCTGCAAACCACTTAATTTCCCAAAGAAGATGGGACCGTGACTGACCATGAACCAAAAGACGGGCAGCTTAGCTCTGTGTGTGCAGGCTGGAGAATATTACTGCTAGAAAATCCATTTCCTGCAAGTGTTGCAGTCTCCAACAATATGCCCTAAATGCTCTGCATCCTCAAGTAAACCTAATAACTCTGACACACAGCTAACTGTGAAAAATATTATGCCTCTTTCATCGCTTGCAAGAGAACAAATGATAATTGCAGCAAATACATTCCTCCCAGCATCTATAATTTTGTAAACACCCAAACAGCTGCAAGTTCTCAGTCGCCTTCCCCCACACCCAACTATGGAAGAACAAACTATTTTTACATAAGACTGAAAAAAGAAAAATGATGAAAGAGAAGGAAGAAGGTCATTTTTAGGTAATGTATTATTGATATCCTGTGTGTTATTATGTAATCAGATAATATGTACAAGGGATTTTAACCTAGAATGATGCCCCAGATAACTGCTGATTCTGCTTACCCCAACATACTTTCCTTGTAAATCTCACTGCTTTCTTTGATAGCTCGGATAATATTCTGCTGAACTGGGTGAATCAATACTTGATTGTCACTGGTGCTCCACCTACTCAAGTCCTTCCTCACAGCTACACAACAGTTTGTTTACATTAGCAGCTTTAGGTCTCTCACATCCCCTCTTCCCAATGGTGTCCTCCAGGGCTCAGTTATTGGACCATTACTGTCTTACAGTCTCCCTCTTGCACATATGATCTGTTGACATGGCCTCAATTTTCACTGCTATGCAGACGACACACAACTCTAGATACACACCAAGCCTCGAACACTCCACCACCATCCAACCTGACAGAGTGCTTAAAGGATATTAATGCTTGGATGACCTGCAATTACGTTGAACTTAATCAGGATAAATCTAAGGCTTTCCCCATTACCTCTCAACCACACTCTCCACCAAAAGTCTCATCTAAAATTGAGTGTCCCTGGTTTATTTCATCCTCTGAGGTCAAAAATTTTGGTGTAACTTTAGACTCTACCCTTTGTTTTGACACAGACACATCAAAAACATTTCCAAGACTGCCGTCTTTACCTGAAGAACATTTCTAGACTATGCCCCTCATGTGCCTTTATTATATCTTGGGAGCACCCCAACCCTGAGCAACTGCTCGCCTCCGAGTTAAATACCGAATCTGACTTTCTAATTTATATATCTGTCCCTGCCTTAGCCCTACTTATCTGTCACACTGCCTGTCTGAT